CAAGACTCCTTATAACCGACGACTGAAAATACATATTTGATCGTTCCGCGTCCAAATGTGGAAGTTAATTCGCAAGAGGACAGATCTACGCTACGCCACCACAGCAGCTTTGACACACCCAGAATAGACATGTACACACGCCACTCGCCGACAAGAACACACATAGACAAAAGAGCCTAAGGCCTCCACATGAAAGAAGACACACGGATACATAGCCTACATCTTGTGATCGACCCACAGCCTACCTGCGCACACACACGCGTGTCCAGACACCCTGGGGAGAAAATAGACACACATTCCTCCCACTCATTCTCCATCTCTCTCTATCTCCCTTACACACACCTACGCTCGCACAAGCTGCGCGAGCCAGGCTCTCTCTCTATAAGCAGTTATTTCCCAGAGTTACTGCCAGCACTCCCTCTCTCTCACAGTGACAAGCTACAAATCCCTGACACCACCACTGATGATAGCTTTACAGTAGAGCCTCAAGGGGACTCTGCCAGCCAGCGCACACAAACAACACACTCATGTCTTTTCTGTCTTCTTCTCTCACTCTCTCTTTCGCTCTCTCTCTCTCTCTCTCTCTCACCCTCTCCCAAGAGCCCCGGGGGCCTCTGGGACATGCGGCTCCCAACTAAAAATGCCTAGGGTTTGTTTGAGTTAAACATCTGACTACATGCAATCAAAGTGACAATGATACAAATGAAACACCAATTACGCCTGTCCATTCATGTGCAGATCCGTGTTTAAATGGTGGAAAAACAAAACCCGAATAGATGTGCGTGCAATTACGCTCTTTCAAAATACACATTGTCTTTTAAACTCAGAGCTACCAATCAAAGCGCACCGCATCCACAGTGGCACTACTTACACTGCAATCCAACTTGTACTGTCATCATATACAATTATCCTTTTATTCTCTAAGCCAGATTGATTTATTGAGACAATCGTCATGATGTCATACTCACTCTATCCCTTTTTTTTTCCCTCCACCCCCCCCTCCGTCCCTGTTTGATGAAGCTTTAATGACTCCCTCTGTGAGCTGTAATTACTCGTCAGCCCTGATGTTTGTTTTGGTGTTAACTGGCCACTGCTGTGACCGTATCCTCCGTAGTTCTATTATTTCTCATTACAATATTTATTACTTTTCCTTCCATTTTGGATAATTTAGCAGCACTAATAATGTTCCTCAACTTTGCGTGTATGCAGTGTATATATGTGTGTGTGTGTGTGTATGTAATAATTCCACATCACAAGTGGCTTGGATTTATTGGCATATACCAATTTGGCTTTAATGAGATCACACACCTCCAGGTAGGTGCTGCTTCATCCCCTGCTCGGCTCGGGGTTCTCCCTCCGTCTCTCCGTCTGTCTGCCCTTATTACCATTTCATACACTCCCCCTCTATACCTCCACCACCACTACTGCTGCTACCCCCATCTGATGAAAAACCAGAAAGGCTTTGTGTGGTTCATTAAGTCAGCATAGGAAATGTATTAAGTAGGAGAATAGGGCTGGGAGCTATTGAGTGTTGACTTAACCTTTCCAGCTTTTTTTTTTTTTTTTTTTTCCAACCAGTGATGCTTCTAATGGAGAATGCGTGCATTACTCAGTCTCATTAGTAACCGCTTGGATCAGTCAGAACAAGACATAATAGTAGTTTGGGGCTTGCTTACTCTTAAATAACGTGAGTGAATGCGCTAGAAGGATGAATGCGTCTGTCTGCTAGTAGTTAAATGTTCTATTACATGACCAGTCTTGGGTCAAACGGCATGTCTACAAATTGCAACTGCCAGAGTTTGTTACAACCCGTTTCAAGTAGAAGCGTGGCTCTTCATTTATTCATTCGTTTATTTATTTTCATTTACAAAACCAACTGAATCACTTAATTTCCTTGCTTTACTTTATTCACACTTTTCACTCTCTTCTTGTTGTCCCTTCTGATTGCCCCCACAAATGTGATGCCCCAAAGAAGATCGTTTTTTTTTTTTTATTTCCTGGTTTTATTTGATCAATAAACTTGATATAAATGATGCATGATTTAACCCAACAACAGGGTTTTAAACTTGAAAAGCTGAGGAAGAATTCCACATCATAATGTAGCTGTAAGAAACTACGATCAAAGATGTACTTAGCTGCTAAAAAAAAAAAAAAAGAAAAAAGAAGCAAAATCTTGTTTCAATGTAATTACTAAGTAATCCAGACAGAACACTGTAAAGAAATGGCTTAATGTTGGGTTGTCGCACATTTCAGAGGGAAGGGCACTGTGGTCAGTCTGCCATTACAATTAGCGTTCATTTCGGCCGTATTCGGTGAGATCTACACTGACTGCTGGACATGCATTATGCATGAATGTGTCCATATGCACTTGGGCCATCATGCATGCCCTTGTAGAAATGCATCGACCACCAGCATGCAATTACATTTAACTTGTTTCAACCTTCTCTATATGTACATTCGACAGTAATGACGGTTTAGGGTGAAAATAGGCATTATCCTTTTATAGGTTGTTATAATAATCATCAATAATGGCTGTAGGAGATTTTAAAATGTTGCATTTTGCTTATTGATAACATTTTTTTAAATTAAAATTCTCATCAGAATCCAGGAAAAACTGTACAGTAATGAATGAAGTCTGAGATATGTGTAGATTTATTTTTTTAACATACATACACACACACACATATATATAATAACAGAAGACATAAGTGTTAATTTAGAAGTTGGGAAAGTTTCTTACATTTTAAGAAAAAAGAAAAAGAAAAGAAACATCTGATTGTCTGAAAAGTGTATTGCAACAAAGCAATATGTGTTGCTTCTGCTTCAGCACACTGAATGATCCAAATGTTTCCTTTTCACTTTTTTTCTCCACATTAACTTTTAACATTTTTTAAAATAATTGTATTTATGCCACAAGAATCTATTTGTCAATGCAGTTATGTTCTAATCTTATTTTATGTTTATTTGTAGATATAATTGATTTTAGGGCATTTGTGGTGGGTCCAGTTTGGGAAACTTTAAAAACATTGGGTGCAGAATAAGTCTAGCTTGGAGCTGAAATATTAGTGAGACTGCTGCAGAATGATGTTCAACACAAGCAAGTTGGGGGGAAAAAAATGCAATAACTCTACTATGTGGACTTTCTAATGCAGCTTGGTAACATGAAGAATAGGATCAGAGTCTGTTATCCAACAAGTTCCCTGCTGTAGCTGAGTTGCCTGCAGAAGCAATGAGCACTTGTCTGGACCAAAGGCGTGGTGTGTGTGTGTGTGAGAGCTGCTATTGCCTGTGGGTGTTTAAAAATGGCACTTCCCAGAGTCTGGACCATGACCACTCTGTCCACTTTATCTCTGTGGAGAATCTCTGACGGGAGATCTTCATCTCCTACACGTGGCTCTTTAGCGCCCCTCGGAGAGAAAGCCCGTAATCGCAGATGCGTCTCTTGGGGAGTCAACGCCATTCATCATTCAGGCAAAGTCGTGGCAAACTGGGGAATTTGGCACAAGGTAGCCTACCAGTCGTGACAACGGGAAAAACCTACACCACTGTAGACAGCCAGAAACGGGCACAACATATGACTGTGTAGGAATGATCACCGCTGTCACTGTCAATACACATGTAGTGCGTATAGGGGAAATCAACAGCCCCCCTCCCAGCGCGTCCCAGCTCCACACACGAGGAGAGGAGAGGAGAGGGCGCCGCTTGTTTATGTTTATCAGAGAGAGTGAGAGAACTCGTGATGGTTGAGCTGCTGATCTAATAAGCCTTAAAATTATTTCTACTTTCATTCACTGTGAGGCAGCATCATTCCTTACCCATCTTTCAAGTGAGCATCATTCAATTAAAATGCAATTCTCGTCGCCCCCATGCACGGATATTTAATTAGACTGGGGAGCACGGCTTCCGATGTCTTTTTTTTTTTCTCCAGCACAGCTCTTCGGATTTCACCTCTAAGGCATATTTTCACTCTGTTACTCGTTGGTTAAACAAGGGCATGTATCCATTTGTTAATTGATACAATTACGCATTACGCGTAATGGTCACGTAGGTCTCCAGGCGCGCATCAATCACTGGTCTATTGACCTGCCAAAAACCCCTCTAACCGTTCCTGCTGGGATTGCCCCTTTCTCTAATAGAGAAAGATAGAAACATCATCGTCATTAACTCCGGGATGGACCTCTGGCCAGAGAGCCAGAAGCGAACAGAGGTCGAGAAAAGAAGAAAAAAAAAGTATCAGAGGTGTACATTCAACCAGATTTAGTTGTAAGACTGTAAATAAAGAAAACCGTTTAAACACAAGTGTTATTTAAAAGTAAACTGCAGGAGATTTGTGTGATTTGATATGAATCTGGGTGAAAATAGAACTTACAAACAGCCAAAAATATCCTCAGTGTTTGTTTTCTTCTCATTTATTCAACTTCACAAAGGCTCCTCGTATGTTGCAATTCAATAATGATCAACAGCAGTGCAATTTTCAGGGACTTTATCTGAGAAAAATCGGTGTGGAAATCTGTTACAAAAGCGAAACAAGGCTGTGTACAGTGCACCTTAAGAAAACCCTGTGTTGGACGTGATTGGCAAAGACATTATTCTATCCTTGGTACCCTGCCGTTCCGGGATTACAGTGACGTCACGCTGATACCCTTGCATGGATGAATGCTAAAGAACTATAGAGCCACAAATAATAGCACAAGCAGAGTCCATATCTTGGAAGACTTACGTTATCCTTTAAGCCTCCTTCGGCTAACACAACAACATTTTTTTTTTTTTTTTTTTTTTTTTTTTTGCATTTAATGACGCTTAATTTCATTTCTTATCGGGTCCTTGGGGGGGATTATTCATTCATATAAAACAATCTGCAGCTGGTGCCAGCCTAAAGTCTCCCTCCTATGAGTGAAGTCATCTATTATTGAGCGAAAGGCCGTGCGTGGAAATGTGTGTAAGACGGTGGATTTGAAGTAGAATTGGTTGCAATCGATCAAGGGTGAAGAATATTCCTGATGGTAACAAAAGAAGCAGCTATGTCTTTCTCGCAATTTGGATACCCTTACAATGCAACTTCACAGGTAAGTCACTTTGCTTCTCATTTCGCCGAAGTTGAATGTAAACCAGTGACTTTTTTTTTTTTTTTTGGTGCATATTTTCCTTCATTTCACCAATCAGATGACTTTCCTCTTTTATGAAACCTCTCTGAATGAGTGCCTACTTTGACAGCATTGACAGCTATTTTCGCGTGGTGCTTTTGTTGTTGAACCAAATATCGATATACACGCACTCGTGTCCAATTACACTGAATTATGAATGAACTCACGTGTTTTTTCTGATGACAATAGAGATGAATGTCACCTATTGCGCACTGGGCTACGAGGTGTAATTGGGGCTGTTACGCATGCTGTTCACATTCGCAAAACTTTCTGTTGAAAATACCGACAAGTGTAGGATGGGGGTGATTTTTTGAAAGCGTTTTAAAACTTCATTAAAGCGGTTAATTTACATTTCAGGGAACTAATATTGCTCCCAATGACAAGTTCGAAGAAGTTCAGCTCGGTGAGGGGACAGAAGTTACTCTCCTGGCAAAGTTATCATCCAACTTTTAGCTTGATAATATTTTAGGATACGACTGGATATATATATAAACAGTTTGATTATTTAATTTCAAATGAGGTGATTGTTAACTTGACACTTACTTTTCCTTTTCTATCGGGGAATTATAATTTTGAAGTCGGTGATCAGATGGAGCAGGACACTTTTACGCACGTATTGCGCACAACTCTTCTATCCTAATATGTTCTGAAAACAATTACCAGTGCCATTCACATCCATGCAGCAGCCTGTTAAATTCATTTTTTATTAAGTAGTGACTAAAGACAACGAGGAGATACAGCTTGTCGCACTTGTTTCCGATGGAAGCTACTTTCTGTCATTCCAGTAATTCTCCGAAAAGTGACTTACCTTGAATTAAGGCAGGTCACTAGTTAAAAAAAAAAAAGACACCTGAGTCGTCATAATTCAACTGATGTGCACCAGAAAGAAACGAAATCAGCCCACGTTTTTTTTTCTTTCCTTTCCTCTCTCGACTTCAAAACACAACACTAGAGCTACTTGTTAAGATGGATATCTTTTGCAGTGCATCACCCACAGTCACTTCAGAGCTGTCATACACATCCAGATAAGAGCTGAAACAGTAATGACAATGTCTATCCACGGTTCTCTTCATGCAGTTTTTCGTGTCGGCAAACCCCAGTACGACTTGCTGCGATTCGATTTCCAGGTCGGTCTCTGACGGGACAGGCAGCTCCCAGACCGCCGCTGCCGCCGCCGCCGCCTCCTTCTGCTGCCCGTCCTACGAGAACCGGCTCCTGGCGAGCAGCCGGACGGAGCTGAACGCAGCGCTGGGGATGTACAGCTCTCCCTACGCCGCAGCGGCCGCAGCCAGCCAGAACTACGCCAACTACTTCCCCTACAGCACCGATCCATCCGCTATCTACTCCACTCTGGTGGGCTCATCTGAAGCGCAAAAATAAGAGTTGGGGGGGAGAGGAGGGGGGCTCAGGCTGATCGATCAACTGGGTTTATCAATTTATCTCACACTGGAACCATATCCATCTCGACAAGCCGTTTAATCCAGCAGTCGTTCTTATCTTCTCCCCCCTTTTAAAACAAGTGAAAGACAAGAGGGGGAGAAAATCCTGTCACAGGGATGAGGGAAGAAAGTCTAAAAGCAACTTGAATCAAATTTCATTTTATTCATATTAAGCAATCCTCCTCGTTCTGATTTGTTTCAAAAAATATTGGCACTTGTTTCTGTTATTGGAGCAGCTTTCGAGAAAAAAAAAGTAAAAATTACATTAATCCTCTGTCAATATTGCCAAGGCTGCTTGAAAGAAAGGGAGAAAAGTAAGAATGTGAAGTGGATAAAGGACTGAATGATTTGTTAAATGGACTCTTGAAACTTTTTTCTTTGCTCTTATGTTGAAAAGCTCAAGTCAGCTAAAAATTTACTGTCCATAGAAATGCTGAAGTAAAAATAAATCCTAAAAAAATAATATTTGGATTAGTTAACAACATTATACAGTAATGTATGTCATGGGTGGGGCTTATTTTCTGTTTGTTTAAAGGATTTACTTGTGATTTAAGAGCATAAAAGTAAGACATGTTCCTAATTTATATATGACATGAATCTCAAAAAATGCTAAAAGTGCTGATAAATAACCTTGAAGTCAAATCTCAGAATATTTTCAACTGACAACAAACTCTTTTTTTTCCTCCTACAGAATCCACAGTATGACATTAAGGACAGCACAGGCACTTTACACTCTGGCATCACTCAGACAGCTGCATACTACCCCTATGACCACTCACTGGGACAATATCAATACGACAGGTAAGTTTTTTTTTCCTCCCTCGCTTTTGTGCAACGTGATCTTAAGTGAACCTGCCAAAAAATATATTCCACCACTGATCATTGAAAGCACCCATTCACTTCAGATCAAAGGTCAGAGTGTAACTCCATACTGATGCTTGCATGCAGTGAAGCTGTATATATTTCAAACAGCAGGGAGCAGGGGTATATACTTCACTAACTGCACTAATGGCAACTGTCTGAATGTGTGTGTGTGTGTTTCCAGATACGGGACAGTAGACTTTAATGGCACAGCCAGGAGAAAGAACGCCACACGTGAAACCACCAGCACCCTGAAAACATGGTTGTACGAGCACCGCAAGAACCCCTACCCCACCAAGGGAGAGAAGATCATGCTGGCCATCATCACCAAAATGACGCTCACCCAAGTGTCCACCTGGTTCGCCAACGCCAGGAGGAGGCTAAAGAAGGAGAACAAGATGACCTGGTCGCCAAAGAACAAGGCCAATGATGACAGGAAGGACGACCTCACCAAAAGCGACCAAGAATGTGTCACCAAAGGTAATTTTCTGTCCACTTTATGGTGGCAAAAAAAACCCATATAATCCTTGTTGAACTCAAAGTGTTGTTTAAACTAAATTTAGTCAAACAGAGTTGCCTATTTTACTTATCCTTCAAGTGTAAAAAGTGTGTTTAAAAGTTTTCCAAACAAACTAGAACAAGCACTACAGCCTAAACTTCTTTATGTCGTGCAGATTCTAGTGATTGCAAAGAAGAGAAGGATTTGCATCTGAGTGACTTGGAGGACATGGACGACGATGACTGTGACAAGCTGGACAGTGACTGTGAAAAGGTGGCGGCAGATGAGCAGGACCTCCAGAGGGCCATGGCAGTAGCTCCTCAGAAAAGAGACTGCAGCTCTGAGCTGCACCTGAGTTTAACCAACAGCTTCCACTCGTTCCCCTGCGCCATCAAAAGTGTCACCACGCTCCCCCCTCTCCCATCTGACTTCCTGGATCCAGTGCTGCCCAAGGCGCCCTCCTTGACCGGCCCGGCAGCAGGGACGTTGTCGCTGTCTCACTTTGAAGCATCAGATAAGCCACGGATTTGGTCTCTGGCTCGTACGGCGGCTTCTGGGGTCATACTGAGCCCTCAGCAGCACGGCTCTGAGCTGAGGACAGGCAACGCTACCGGGGACTGCCAGCTACAGAGCACCAGGCTTACTGGGGCTCCTACTGGACAGTGTGGGGGCATGAGAGGCCTCCATGATTCTAGCAGTGTCACCAACGCTGAGAGCCCCTTCCCTGAGGGCTCATCCTTGCACTCTAAAGTCTATGGCACGAGCAGCTACAGTCACAAGGGCCTCCAGCTTCACTGCTCATCCTATGCTGCTCTCCCAGACACATGTCAATACTCCACTATCGAAGGTACGTCTGCTTTTGCTTTACCATTAAGGATAACTTTTTAGAATTGTCTTATCATGACAGGAAATATCAATTCAAATTTCTGAAAGCAGTAGTGAACCCCAGCACCACTAAATAGGTTACATTATACACTTTTCTGGGGGCATTTGTGACGAACATCTCTAAGGTTGTGAAGTGACGAGACATTTTCTGCCAACTCACACTCGAGGCAAGTTTCCTAAGATGTGTTTTTTTATTTTTTTTTATCTGGGTGCGCAGGATTCTCTGGCAGCAAAGCAGAGACACAGTCGTCTGACCTCAGTGAAGCCTGCGGGACCGTGCAGGATGACAAGGTCACTGCGTTCAGACCGGTGATGAAGAGGTGAAGCAGGTGAGAGTCTGCACTGAACTGGAAGAAACCAGTGAAGCCATGACACACGTACAGGCTTTCCACACAAACACAGGAGGCAAGGAAGCACATAATCAAACACTCACAAGTGAACAAGCACACACAGGTGGGCGCACAATTGTCATTTTTGGTTTGGTATATGATGCCAATTTTTTTAAAAATTTGATCTAAATTTAATGATTGCAGATTGACACATGGGGCATATAGATAATATAAAAATAAAATAAATCAAAATATTAGACACATCTCTGTTGCAACTACTTTTTTTATTATGTTTTTTAATATCATTGTGAATACTGACTGATTGATTTATTTAAAATTGGACAACTTATTTTAATTCCTGCCGCTTTTTTTCCTTTCTTTTCTTCTCCTAGATCTTTGGAAAGTGTACCACAATAAATAATTCGACATTTCTTATGCACTAAAGGACACACTGGCTGAGTAGCGGCCTCAACATGACACATGGGAGCTACCTGGCGCTGCTGCTGCTGCTGCTGCTGCTGCAGTGAGAGCTGTCAAACTGTGGACGTGGCTATCATTTTGCACAACATTGTTTTTATGGTGTTTAAAGACTTTATGCAAAAAAGAAAAAAAAAAAAAATCTAGATGCAAAAGGTGTGAGAATGGCCAAACAACAAGCGGCCGAATTTGTGTATGGCAATCGTGTAGTGTAGCAAACTTATTTATTTCTCTGTGTATTTATTATTATTTTTTTGTTATGTCGTCTGTTTGCTTCTTGTTGTTATTATTTAACGTGTTTATTGGTTGGATTTGTATCTCCTTTATGTATTTTTGTTACATGTTTTACTGTGGCTTCGTGTCTTTTTTTTTTTTTTAATTATTATTTTCTGCCTGATGTGAAAAGAGAAAAAAGCCAGTCGGACTTTCAGCTGACTCCATGGACCGGATCCGCTGTTTTTACGCGTGGACTTCAAGATTGTTGTGTTTAAAATGTGAGCTTCTCCTGTGTTTTTTTTTTTTTTTGCCATTCATGACATTTTTCTTTTTCTAACAATACAGTTTTTGTTTTTCCAAGAGCTGTTGCTTGTGTCCTGCTTATTTCATAGAACTCGCTCAATCAGCCAATTAAGAAACATTTGCGGATGCGCGTCTGATCAAAGTTTATCATCTTGACTCGACGCACGGAGACCGCGGCGCTGATGGAAGGTCATAATTCAGAAGAGGACGTGAGTGAAATCCACAAGTTGCGGAAGAAAGGGGACATCATCTCTCCATTGTCAGCATCTAATCAGAAGTGGCATCAAACACTTTGTTACTGTTCAGGCCCGGCAACGAGGCAGGAACATAGGATGAATGCTGCTTTGTCCCCTGTGTAGCGAGCCGCTGCACTAACTTAACATTGTGTTAATTAAAAGGTCATTTGTAGGATCAAACCCAGCAGAGAAATTCACATGGTCCCTCCGAGTCCCTTTGATTCGCCTGTTTTTGCCTATAGAGCATCTCGTTATGGACTAACTCTTGCGCCTCTCCTACAGACAGCTGTAATAAGATGATCACTGTAGTGGATGATCCGTGCTGACGGCCTGGAAAACTTTTTTTTTTAATCTTTGCATTTCAGAACTTTTAAAGTCAAACACTTCCGAGCTTCTGCGTAAACTAATTCCCGCTTGGATACTGATTTTGACGCACCGTTCTACTGCGTAATGCTCCAAAAATACATCCAGAAAATATCAAACTTGGGTGGAAAAAAAACTTTCTTTATACCAAAATTCGTGACACAATCTAAATTGCAATAATAACCAAATATGATTAAATCAATTCTTTTTCCTCAGAAGGTCTATTTTTGTTTCCAACTCGATCCCTGCCCTGAAACCACTAAATCACTGTGACATCAACAGGCGAAGATTTAGCTTTTGTGATTCCAGACCACTGCTGAAACAATACCTGCAGATATTCTACAGCGCCACAAAACGTCATTTGAGGTCGGATTATGTTTGTAATAAAAAGTCTTTTCCGTATTAGGGCGGTTCAGGCTCAGTTCTGAGGCGCTGTGGTCATCCTGTGTGTCCTTGGCCAATGGCGGAGCTGTCAGTAATGCCCGGAGCCTGGCAAATCCAGGAAAATCTAACATGATGAGGATGAAGAAGGTCAAGAATAATAACTTAGGCCTATTTAGATTTTTTTTTTTTTTTCAGTTCAATTTTTTCCCCCTTCTGTGTTAATCTGAGGGCCAATAAAAGATCTGCTAAAGGTGGAAGCCAAAACAAATAGATTTATAGGAGACTATTTTAAACACAAAAAGATCTGAATCTCATGTTTGATTAACATTTGCCTGCTTAGAGACAACAGAGGGAAATTAATCAGTGATATCTTTGACACATTTTCTACCTGTGGGAGGTGACAGTGTGGAAAAATCAAAACCTTTCAGCAGCATGTACGGAAGATAAAAAGTGCCAAAATTTCTCCAGCTACAGCAGCTCTTGATGTGAAGTTTCCACATCTAGATGAGTGCTAACAGCAGGCCTGCTAATGATAAGCTGCTAACAGGCAGCCCTTCTCAACAGTCATCAGTCATGGCGCCTGATGGGCTGCTCTTGACATAAAAATGTAGGCTAGCTGTGTATCAAATATTTACAACCAAATTTAATTAAATGGCAGGCTGTAAAGAAAAGCTGTCTTATGCTATCGAAGGTAATGATGCATGCGCAATGGGATTACCGCCATGGCGACGTACCTGGGGGAAAGCACAGATAATGGCCATGATGGGCTCATATAGCAGCGTATGCCTGAAGCAGCTAACAGGTCAATTAGTGTGTCCTATACGCAGTGTTTTACATATGGCTAAAGCAGCTGCACGCGGGAGAGACAATCAAGACGTACACGAGCCAGCTGCAAACGGAGGTTGATCTGGATGCCACGGATCAGATGCTTCGGTATTGCCTTTTTCCACATCTGCAGTGTAGGGAGGAAGGGAATTCCTTAAAGAAGAAAAAAATAATAAAATAGTGGAAGTACAAGGGTGAATAAACAGGCATTTAGCATAATTTTTGTTGTTGTCGGATTCAGGGGGAGGGGACGAACACGGTTTTTTGTTTGTCTGACATCTTTTAATCTGAGGCGAGACATGAAATCTGTGACAAAGTACAGTGTTACCGAATAATAAGTTCTTTTAGGTAGCCTGTGCACAACTAAATCTCCCTAATACACGCCTTCCTCTTGGTAAATTACATTTTTCTTTAGGGAGGGGGGGTGCCTATGAGAGCATGTTTGCATAATCCAAAACAGATTTTAGATAATCTGTGAATGAGGCCCAAAAAAAAAAAAGAAAAACAAGCTATGGTAAACATGAATACTTAAATAGGTTTGACAATATTAATCTGTGACCATCCCTTGTATGAAATCAGAGGGTGTCTTTACACTCATATAGAGTTTATTATCAAACACTTAGACTCAAGGCTGACCCCCCCCCCCCACTCCGCTGTCCCGCCCCTACTGTTCCCGTGCTGTCATGCATCGCTAGTCTTTTCTGGGCCAAGTTGCTGCTTGAACCTTATGCTCTTTTCAAGTCAACAGGCCAACTGACTGTCAGAGATGACAGGTGTTCTGGTAAGTCGGCGTTTGGAACCCATAACGTGCACAACAAGGAGCAGGCTTCTAATTGTTTCAACATGTTTATCTGAGGTGGAGTCTTACCCTTCCCATCAACCTACATCCTCATTTTCAAACAAAGGGTAAATGCTACGTTTCACAACACGGAACATGACATTTATGTTGCTGATCAGCTTTTTCTCTGTCGGTTTTGGTATTTTTTTTGATATTCAGCGCTCAGAATAGCAATAGTAAAAACATAAAAGTGTAACTACATACAGAACACTAGTATTTGTAAATTGCAGTGTGGAAGTTTAGGCTGTAATCTATCGTCTTTGAACTAGTGGGCTGAAATATTCACTTTTTAATGTGGATTCTGACGCTCATTTCAAGGAAAACTCTTTTTTAACTCATTTGCATGAATGTAAAGTTCAAACAGCTGAAATATCTGGGCGCAACGGCTACTTAAAGGTCAGCCTTTTAAATTGCATCACCTTTTATTCTACTGCTATACATCTTTTATGACAGCTTTCACCATAACAACAAAAAAAAAAGTAGAATAAACACTTAAAAAATAACGGTGACGTGTAGAATTCACGTACATTATGCGAGTCAGAGTAAAGCATACAAACACACCGCGGACTTGTTTTGTGCATTTATTATTTTTTATTGCTTGTTCCAGCAACCAGGCTCATAAAGGACCTGACACCAGTTTAAGAGTGACTGTGTGTGTGTTGTGCGATATAATGCTCCAGGTCAATGAGGGGTTAACTCCTGACAAAGCACTGTCAGGGACATCCATCACATGTGCGCTTTACATTTAGGCCCCCACTTAATGAGCATGTGCCCGCAACGCAAAAGAATATGAATTATTCTGACACGATATCAATGGCCTCTTTGTATAAATAGGAGCCATAATAACAACAACAACATAGCAAACAATAATTTGCCCTCTAGTCTGACAAAAGAGCCCGCATGGAGGTGCCATTTGATGTGTCCCACGCTGGGCAGCTAAGGCTCATAAAACAAAGTCTTTGTACCGATGGCTCAGAGTTCAGATGAGGGGGACAATATACACACTTCATTACATTTTGTCAAAAGGCGCAATGAAATGTGTGTGGGACATTGTTTCTGTGCATGTCTCCCTCCATGGAATTTCTGATTGCTGATGTTGCTACAAGGTCTCTGCTAATGAGTTTTGTCAAAGACAATTACAGACTTGGTGGAATGGCCAGAGAGGGGATGAAAAGCTGGCTTTGTGGATAGATGTTGCATTGCGACCCCTGATTCTTTCTGTACCCCGTGTTTGACCTGCGCTTCAAACACATGTCCGGGGAAAGAAAAAAAAACAAGTCCAGGCCCGAGGTTTCATCATCGCTGTACTACTTGCGGTGGAGTGATCTGTACTCGTTTTTTTTTTTTTTTCTTCTTTTCATACGTGTCCTCAACCGGATCCCGGTGTACCAGGCTGGGATCTGGAGCATGGCACAAAGTGACGTTAGTGCTGCCATTTCCCAGGGCCTTGGCTCTTTTGTAGAACTCATTCCCTTTAGAGTAAATGGGGTCTTCAAGTCTACTCCGGCCAAAACACTTGTGACTCAAATGCTGATGAGAGGAGAAAGTTTCAGTTTCGGTCGAGTTCAATGTCATCTCAGTTCACTGATAATCTGCTGCTGCCTAACTGAATAGCGTTGTGGCTTCCCCCCCTAGCTCAAGTGATACTACAGTATGGAAGTAAAGAGCTGCCTTGTAACAAAGCTTTGCATCTTTACTTTCATGGCTTTTCCAGTGATTCTCTGCCGGTGTCAGTTTCACAGCTAAACCAATGGGCGAGGTCGATGT